TTTTTGCTATATAATAACTAAACAGAAATCAGCTGTAGCTTATAAAGGTGTTCTAGCCCCCTCTGACTGCAACTTTCAAAGCAGGATGTGGGATGCAGTTTTCCTTTTGAACTTACTGACAGTGAACTTCCATTTTTACCTTTGCATCTATTTCTTCAGCCTTTTCATTGGCTTCCTGCTCGATGAAAGCCATCATGTGCTTGATCTGTAACAAGAGAGAGGAAAGAAAATATTTTCTGTAGGAAAGAACATTGCCCAGAGGAAGTAAGTATATATATATATATTTATCTCCTCATTTGTAGATCCTCCATATCCATTTACTAATTCATGTAATATTGTTTTGCAAGGAAATTTAATTGAGGATACACACTAAAGAGCAAGTTCATCTTGACTTATATTATAAGAACACTATTTTCCCCAATAATTCTATATAATGCTCTTCCATTAGCTGCCATTAGAAGAATGCACTTCAGGTATGTAACTATAAAAAGAACCAAACCAACCAATCCAAAAGTAAATTTGTACAAATGTGAGGCTGAGTGTTTTTGTTCTTAATTAATGAGTCCAACTCTTTTCACCCCTGGGATTATTAAAAAAAACCTCCCAGACATCAAAAATCCTCACACAGCAAAGTGAGTCTGTTATGACATTTACATGAAACATTTACATGAAATATAAACATTAATATAGATGACATCTGAATGAACCTGGGCTTTCCACAGGTGAACAGTGAAGCAAAGCAAAGTGCTACTGACCACTCTGGTCAGGTTTGTACAGCCAGAAGTTCCTTTGAACACCAGAACCCCTTCTCTTGAAAAACTGCTATAAATTCTGTATAAGGTCACTTTGGAGGGGCTGGGGAAGGAGACAGCAGCAGCAACGTTCTGTGACCCAGACCACATCAAGAATGTCACCTGCTGCTTCAGAGCCCCACATGAACCAGCAAGTTCTACTTGAAAAACATTTTTGAAGCCACCTCAAAGCACTACAAAGCCCAGGTCCAGCAGCTTAAAGACCAGGAAAGCAATCAGATCAAGTTCTCTTCATCCATCATGTGCCTTTCTGTGTGACCAGACCTCATTCCCAACCAAACTTAAACTGGGATGAGGTACAGACACTTCCACAGTCAGATGAAGCAGACCATAAAAACTTACTGACTTTTTGCTTGCACTTAACACATTTTGCAGAAAATCCACTCTGGATAAACTCACACAAAAGACTCTTATTTATAGAATCTAATGTTAAAATTAAACATTTTAAAGAGATTAGAAAGGTGCCAAGGTGAAAACTGAGCCAATGTGCAGAACAGCACTAAGTCCATAGAGATGAAAACACAGAAGTGAAGAGACAAGTGGAAGATTTTAAACACATGTTAACACAGTGGAAGAAGTGAACAGTAACATCTACATCCTCAAAAATCAAGTCAGGAGGTTTATTTTTAATTTGTGTCTGCAAAGACTTTCAAGTGCTTGTCTACCTACAGCATCAGCTTCCTACCCTGCATTTCAGAAAGGACAAGAGAGGCATTTAAAATAAGAATATTATTTTGCTGAACAGCCTATTGTTGAAGAAGACTGAGAACTAAGCAGCAGCAGCAGTCTTTATGTTACTGAGTCACTTCCTCCAGTGTAGTCTGGTTTCTGAATTTTGGAAAAACACTTTTAACAGTTCTGGGTGCTCAGGAAACATCCTCCACATAAAGAAAAGGAATGAGATGGAAGCTAATATGGAATCCACCTCTCCTAGACTGGTAAGACTAAACAGTGTTACTTCCCTCCTGCTGTACTGAAATCCCCTTTTGCTTTTTATATAAATGAAGAGAGATCCAAAGTGAGATTTTCACATCTATAAATAGGATTAGTTTTAATAACAATGTCAAAAATGTATTTTGAAATGAGAGACTTATTTTAAAGCAGTATTTCCTATAGAAAGGAAGTATTTCCCCATCAGGAGCACTGTGGTTATCCTTTCCAAGGGAAGCTCTAGATGTTAGATGGGCCTTAGAAGTGACCAGACAGATCAATAAATTAAATACCTTTGACAGAATAAGAAACCAATTCTGTCAGTGGGAAAAAGTCTCAACCAGAAATGATTTTCCAAGTGACAACCATTGGAAGTGTGGTGGCAAGGAGTTTAGAGGACCAGCTGGCAAGTTCATGCCAGATTCATCCACATGCAGGACTGTCAGCCATCAGCACTCTCCTCTGCAGCTCACAGCATCATCCTGGGCTCAGGAGTGTAAAGCACTGATAGGAAAGCTGCAGATGTGAAATGCTATTGGTATTACATGTTTAATACATCACCAGAGCCTGAACTAACCTTTGAAGCTCAGATCAATTCTGGCTGAGCAAGACCACTCTAATGTCAGCTTTATTATGTTCATGGAAAGGCAGGAAAAAAAAACCCTGAGCTTTGCAGATAAAATGAATACAATGTAATGTTACAATTCTCCTTTTGGAGAAAGGCAACCTACCAATTTTACTTTCATTGTGATGCTTCCTTGCCAAGAGACTATGTTTACTGAATGAGAAAGTGAGACACAAGTACTTGTGATGCAGAGGACAAAGGCAACTTGCCTGACCTGCTCATCACCTGCAAGAAACTACCCAGACCAGTGCTGACCGGATCCCCACAGCCTTTAACACCACACACCATCTCCAACCCAGCTGAAAGCAGCTTTTTTAGCTGAGGGCAGTGTTTACTGTCAACAGGGACAGGGTGTCCTGCCTCTAGGAGTGTCCACAGCCAGACTTCAGGGCTGGAAGTTTCCACTGCAAGCCAACCCCAGGCTGCACCACTCTGCTTAGGATACAGACCTAAAAAGGGCATCCAGGAATGCTGAGCAGCCCACCCAAATGCTAAGGTACAGCTAACTCCAGGTAACACAGCTACAAGCAAAAATAGACGGGAAATCCTTATGGAGCCATAGAATCATTAAGCTGGAAGAGACCTTCAGGATCACCCAGTCCAATTATCAATGCAGCACTTCCACTGTAACATTTAAACCACTAAACCACTTCAGATCCAGAAACTTCCTGAACACCTCCAGGGACGCTGACTCCACCTGGGCAACCTATTCCAATGCCTGACCACCTTAACAGTGAAATTTTCTTTATAATACTTGATGTGAATCTCCCCTGTCTCAGCTTAAGGCCACTTTCTCTGGTTCTCCCACTACAGGCACGGAAGAAGACACTGGCCCTCACCTCCAAACATCTACCACAGCACCACAGCTCGTCTAAGGCTCTGCATTTACCTGCCTTGGGATGCAATTAAACACTGCAGATAGCACACAGCCTGCTCATGAACCTCCTCGTTACAATCTGCCGTAAAATGTCACCAAAACGCCTCAGGGAAGTTCCCCGGTGGGGCCCATCCACCCCGGCATGGAAAAAATCGCCTTGTCCGGACACTTCTTTTTCCAAGACAGGATCTTTCCCCTCCACCGATCTTACTTTCCCAGGGGAGCAGCGGGCAGAGCAGTAGAGCCAGCCGCCAGAGCTGCACTGCGGGCCCGGCGCGGTCAGCCCCGCTCCCCACGGCCCTTCGGGGGCTCCGCTCGGGCCGGGGCCGCGGCCCTACCTGCTTCTGCACGTCGGCATCGCTGAGCGCCATGGCGGCGGCGGTGGCGGTGACAGTGGCGGTGGCGGTGACAGTGGCGGTGGCGGTGACAGTGGCGGTGACAGCCGCAGGCCCGAGGAGACGCACCCGGTGCCGTCGGTGGCCGCCAGCGGAATCAGATCCGGTTCGGGTCACGGCCGGGGCGGGGTCGCCGCACGCCCCGCCCACCGCACGGGGACCAATAGAAACGCTCGCGATGCGTGACGTCACACCGCTATATATGGCGGGGCGGGTGTGCCGTCACCGTCAGTGCGAAAATTGAGCAGAGCAGGGGAAGGGGTACGGAAACAGCGGCGAGAGCGGAACCTGCAGCAGGCAGGGGTGAAACACAGAGATTAACTCGTTTGTAAGGCCCTAAAGTAGCTCTGTGTTGGCTCCCGTGGTGGGAGAAGCAGAAGGATGCAGGAAGGAGGGCATCGCAGGAGTTCTGTTACTGCTGCCATTCTTGATGGTGAAATCTAAGCAGTAGAATAGTATTGGTTTGTTCTAATTGGCAAGAGGTTTCCATTTCCATTCTTCCGGAACGTTTGGTGTAAAAGACAAAACTGTTCCTTTCCAAATCACTGTGAAATATGGTATTTGTCACATCTGTGCTTCTTCCTGATTTATTTCCATTTCCTTAATTTTTTTCTGTGTTTTTTTTTTCTGTGTGGAAAACTTATTATAAAACTATGTGTGTAACTTCGCTGTCTTTTCATACTGCCGTTATAATGCTGGAAATCAGCTTGTATTTTGGGTCTGGAGAATGCTTTACTATTACTTCAGGCACCATCTAAATAATATTAAAACCAAGTTGTTTTATTAAAGAAGAAATAATATATAATAGTAAATGATGTTGATGTCTGTTATTATAAAATAAATATTACTAAATAAAATAGCAAATACAGTTGGAATTATATCCAGACTCTTTCTTTTCCGTGTGCCCCCTGCCTTGCGGAGGGGGTGGGTTCGGTCTGGGACTCAGACCCACCTAACCCACACCTGCAGCCACGTGACCTGGAGGTCAGGGCCGCGGAAACCGAACTGCCGAGACCTCCTTTACCTCCGAATCCCAGAGGAAAACGGGAGAGGGTGGCACAAACCCACCCACGGGTTTTTTTCCCGGTGAACGAATCCCTGCGACCACCGGGATCCCCTGCCGCCCGCCCCAGGGCAGTCACGTGATGTGGGCGCGTCCTCTCCGAGCCCCGCCCCCTCCCCGGCGCGAGCCGTGACGCGCTGCACGCGCCGCGCCCCGCGCGCTACTGCCCCCGCCCCCTCCATCATGGCGGCGGCGGCGGCGGCAAATTAGGGCAGAGCCCGCGCACCGGCCGAGCGCGCGAGCCCGCGCGCCCGCCCGCCCCCGCCCCCCCCCCCCCCCCCCCCCATCCCCACACCGCCCCCGGCGGGAGCGACCCGGGAGCTGCGGCCGCTCCTCCGCTTCCTCCACCTCCAGTTCCTCCCCGCGGCGCCCGCAGGTGAGGAAACGGGCGTGGGAGCGGGCGGGCCGGCTGTTTATTTATTTCTTTATCTGCCTGTCTGTCTGCATTTACTTATGAATTTAAGGGTGGGGCGGGGGGAGCGGGTACCGGCGTCCCCGCGCGCTCCCGCCCGCTCTCCGTGAGGGGCGGGCTGGGGGGGGGGGGGGGGGGGGG